GCCTGGCTAGCAGGCTGGGAGCCTGTTGCAACAGAGGAGTAGTAAGTGAGGGTGGAGCCACAAAGAGGGTTAAAAAGTTTCAAGAGCATAGTGTAGGGGAGAGGGGGCTAGGATGCTGAGGGAGAAGCTTGGAGTCAGAGAGACTGCTCTCCTATGGCCTGGGAAAAGGCAACGGGTTTTGGTTTGAATGCTTGCTTGCATGGGTGACTGGTTTCTCCTGAGTCTGAGGGGGACACTAGACCACCTCTGGGGGTCCCCCAGTGGCCAATTGCCGACTGGGGCGGGGGGTTCCCAGCGGTCAATTGCCAAGCCAGTGGTGCACTTCCAGTTTCGTGGCTGATGCTTCCAGGGGGTGCATGACCGATCTTAGGCGGTGCACATGCACTCGCATGCACCCCCTACATGTCACCAATGCTTGCTTATTTGTTTACCCTGATTTGGGATGATTTGGTTATTGTGACTGTGAAGTCTCTCCTACAGGAATAAAACAACTGGGAAAGCTTGACCTCAGAGTTGGCAGGCCTAGATAAGAAAGCTGAGCGAGTGACCTGCTTACAGGTGGCTTTTCCTACAGTGTTGGTAGCACTCTTTCTGATACCATGTTGGGCATTGTTACACTTAGCATGTGTTAACCACGCTTAAAACGCTGGTGTCCAACTATTCAAGTAGGATAATGTGCTAATTGCTTTTGTATTTTTGTAAAGTCATGGTTTTTTGAGTGAGGAATATCTCCCGACATATTAAGTGACATGTGTTGCCATAATGTGGGATTACTCCACAGAGATGATATGATCAATTACTGTCCCAGGGCTGGGAGCCGTAATCTACTGTGGGTCCCAGCCCCAGGACTGGAAGGGAGTCTCAAGCGAGCTCCATGGAGTGGGTCCCAGGCTGAGACTGAAAATCATCTGATTTTTAAGTCTGTGCCCTGGAATTGTACCATTGATGGCCAAGAGTCCATTGTGGTCCCAGGGACTGTCTTTGGGTCATTGCAGTATCATCCCAGGGATCGTCGCAGCACTGTAGTGGAGTCGTGAACTAGCTGTGGTGTGATCCCAGGTCTGACACCTAGAATCATCTGATTTTCAGGTGTCAGCCCTGGGACTGCACAGGAGCCAATTCAAGACTCTGATACAGTCCCAGAACTGAGATCCCCAAATCAACTGATTTTCAGTCTCAGCCTGGGGACCCATGGGTGCTGGTTGGAGACTCCACTGGGATCTCAGGGGAGCTGGTTCAAGACTTTGGTGCAGCACTATAATCTATATTTAAATCATAGTAAGTATTACCATGAAACTCCTCAGAAAACTTTCTAAGTTACATGAATGCGTACTATGATTTATATCAAATGTGTAACACATAACAAGGCCCTTGGTTTTGTGAACCTGTGACCAGTTTAAAAATGAGTAAGTTCCCTGTATATTGGGCCTGAGATTCTGAGGATAGGGAAGGTAAGCATGCACATCTTGTACCACTGACCTTACTAGCTCTTTTCTCCCACTATTGCTAACTCCACAGAGTATGTAACAATATAAGCATTAAAAAAAAAATCAGTTTTCAGTGTGTTTTTTGTTCTGCTGAATCTGTCACTGCTAATGGTGATGTGGGTGATAGGAGGGACTTGCCTGCAAATGGGTCTGAGATACCTTAGACCTGCCATTTATGAATGACATGCCACATGTGGAAAGTGCTGCATTTGCAGTGGGCGGTACTTCATTGTGCATATACTGAAACAACTGTGAAGAGTCTGGTGATCCAAGAATCCCATGCTTGGTGCCAGGTGGACGTGGGCACTATGCCAGTCCCATAGTCTGTCCAGTGACATTGCTGCTACAGTTCAATTTTAGAAGTACTGTGGGTGCCTTCTGCCTGAAGGAAAGAGGAGATGGGTAATGAGCTAACTCTTTTTGTGAGGTCTAATAGGTCCTTCCCAGGCAACTGTCATGATGTAACATGGTGGTCACTGTTAATACAAGTCACTGTTAGTGCCTGTGCTTAGTACAGCATGCATCTCTGCAGGGAAAAATGTACAGGCAACCCCTGCTTAACGCTGTTTCGCTTAACATTATTTTGCTATAACACTCATTTTAAATTGATACCTGATTTCACTTAGCACTTAGCGAGTTTTGTTATAACGCTCACAATCGCCATATTGGGTCATTAAAAACAATTGCAGTCGCCATCTTGGGTCATCAAATACTTCCGATTTTGGTTAACGCTCGTTTCGCTTAACAATCTTCTTTTTTTCAGGAACCAATTAAGAGCACTGAGCGGGGGTTGCCTGTACATGTCAGATTCATTAACACTTTGGGTATGCATTGACAAAAGTAAGATAGTTGGGTGTCAGGCCAGGAGTCGTCATCGACTGCACCTGATGTTTGGGCTCATGAGATCATGGTCATAAGACCTTGGTTTTGTTAGTTCTACTGCTTACACAAGTGCTGACAGGGGTATATTTCTTTGTTGTGGCTTCAGTATACTGGTTACCTCTGATTAAGCTGAGGACAAACAAACTAAAGCAGCCTATTAAGTGCTATTGTGCCAAAACAAACAAACAAAAGCATGCCTGTTTGCAAGAGTGGCACTTCTTCCCAACCATCATCCTCTTCGGTTTGGTTTTTAAATCTAGAAAAATAACCATTTATGGAAATTCCGCTTAACAGGGGAAAAATACCAAAAATATCTTTCAACACAATGGTTTGAGAATTAAATGCTCCAGTAGTCACAGACTTCCATCAAGCACCACAGTTCTGTGTAGCAGTTGGCCTGTCTCCAAGTGGCCTAGCCCAGGGGTGGTCAACCACGGGCCTGTGGGCCGGTTCTGGGCCTCAGCATCATGTCATTCACTCTGCAAGGCTACCCATGGGGAGCCCTGTGGAGCTGGCCCTGCACACTAGATCAGGCATGCAGGGTAGTGCAGGGCCCAATCCTGACACATGGGGCTGGTTAGAGACAGTGCAGGGGCCCTCAATCTCAGCATGTGAGACTGGACAGGGGTGGTGCAGGGTCCCAGAGCCCAATCCTAGCATATAGGGCCTCAAGGCCCAATTCCAGCATGTGGTGCTGGGTAGAGGCAGCGGGGATGGCACTGGGCCCGATCCTGGCATACAGAGCTCAGTGGAGGTGGCATGGAGCCCTATGGCTCAATTCCAGCACACAGAGCTGGGTGGGGATGGTGCGGGCCCTTGGGACTTAACCCTGGCACATGGTGGCAGTGCAGGACCTGATCCTGGGATGCAGAGTTCTATCTAGCCTGTTGACTGGCCCTGCATCATGCATCTGGCTTCTGGGACCAAAACGTAAGCATCACAGACCTAACCAATCCACCCCAAAATCAAGCCCAAAATTGTTAGTGCGCAAAGTCTTTCTCTGTATATCATGGGTTTGGTTTGTTTAGAAGCAGGGGGGAGGTGGGAATGCTTACAAGTTGGTTTACTTGTTATCTAAAAAAGTGTGCATGGTGGGGGGGAAGGGGATGAGACCCCCCCCCACTCTTCAGTTACAGTTATATTTTATATCAAATGTCCTTAGTACAAAGCAGCCCAACATTTGGAACCCATGGGCACTCTGTATAATGTGTTGGGAGCAGGTTGCTTTCAGGAGGGGAGGGACTTTGACAGGGAGTTTATTTGTGTTTATTTAAACTTGCGTGAAGTGATCTTTTGGGGCAAAGTGTAAGTAACCCTTCTTTACTCTCAGGTCTATTAAACTTTTAAGGGAAGTAATAGGTATTTGAGTTGTGTTATCTTTTATGGATGGGTCGCTTGTCAGTTGTTTCTCTAGTGTTTTCCTTTTAAAAGCTGTTTATGCACCATGGCAGACTGGATAGGTCAGCTGTTTTTGTTGAAAAAACTGCCTCTCTCCATAAGTACAAAATGCATGACAAAGATCTTTCCCTTACTGTAAACTGTGGCACAAAAGACAAATGTTTATTATATAGTTGCCTGCAAATGCAGATGACTAGAATCCTTAACCCAGGTGGTCTCTAAAATTACAGCCTAAACTCTCATTAACAATCCTTCAATATCCATGGGAGACAGATGAGCAAGTATTATTGATTACCGAGTATCATGTACAGTGACTGGCATTACCAAAGAGATCACATCGCCTCTATCCACCAATACAGCAGAAAAAGCACATGAATAAGAGCGCGTGTGTAGAGTTGTTCTTCCTCTCTCATTTCAGTGCCCTCTTTTCTGATTTCAGCTATAAGTGAAAAACAGTTGTCAGAAGAGATGCTATCTCACCATTGCTTCCAGTCATAACAGAAAGGTCAAGATCCCAGATAACTTTGTGAAACTATTTCTCTCCCTTCCCCCTAGCTTCTGACTAAAATTTTCCTTTTGCCCCAATGGAAGCAAAATTTTATTTATAATCCAACTGACGGGGAAAGTGCAACATGATATAAGTGGGGGCAGTTACAGCTTTTGGAAGAAGACTTGACCTAACTCTGTTTCCTGCAGGCCATCACTCTGTGTCGCACCAAGATAGCTCTCACGCGCTACCAACTACGAGGTAGCTCATGTTACAGGTCTGGAAATGAGATGCAATACCTTCATCCTAGTTTCCTGAATGATACAGGTTGATTCAGAGTTGTGACCTAACTCCAGCAGAAGCAGACTGAAGAATTTGGGGTGAAATGCTGGCCTCATTGGCTTCAACGGGCATTTTGCAACCAATAATATTTGAGTCAGGAGCTTGATATCCATTGATGCTGATGTAGGATCACAGCTGTCAAGTACCTTTGAAAATCAGAATACCAGCATTTAACATAAATCCCCCAATTTATGCCTTAATGGTGTGGATCATTTTATACTTCGCCAACAATGCCATTACATCCAGTGCCACAAAACTTGTACTTCTCATTCCTTTTTCCACTTTTAAAAGGTATTCTTAGCCTAAAGATAAGATATTTGTCATTATTACAAATGTCTTTATAAATGCTAAAAGTTGTTTCCTGTTCAGTGAAAAGTATTTTCTTATGTCTTTTCTCCCAATAGAAAGCTATTTCATCTCCAACTGTATCGCGCCTTACAGACACAACAAAATTCACGGGTTCCCACAAAGAGAGGTTTGATCCCAGCGGGAAAGGAAAAGGCAAAGCAGGACGAGAAGACCTCGTTGACGCTTCAGGCTATGTATCTGGGTATAAGCATGCAGGCACATATGATCATAAAGTACAAGGAAGCAAGTAAGCCTGGGTTAAAAACCTGAGAGAGAATATACCTGTAAGAAAGATGTAGATGAATCCCACATGTTTCAGTTATCGTGAATGCTAAGACTATGTTGTCAAGACGTGTTTTCAGGAACTGGAACTGATTTCAACATCTGCTGAGATATTTGCAGCACAGCACCACTTCATTACATTCCTCATGCTTACATTGGCAAAAAAACCCCCAAAACAAAACCCGTAAATAAAAGGTAACACAAAAGTTGTTGAGCTGTAGACAAGAAACCAAAAGCAAGGGCTGTTATTCCACACCTTGTCAATACTAGCAAAAGATCTGCAAACATTCCTAAATGTCCAGTTTGTTCTTGGGTGTAGAAGACGGTTAACTTCTTTCCAGGTAAGTGGGAAGGAGAGTCTTGTGATAGCAGCCTTTCTGAAGAGAATATCCAGATATTTATGCTTTTTGATTTGACTACTTATTTATTTTTAAAGGTATCTTAAAAGGGCACTGCCCACAAAGACACAAATTCAGCATTGTACTAATGGGAAATAAATGGCTGGAATATACAAGGTGCTATCATAAAAATCAAGTTTCTACACCATTTGTGAACAGCAAAAAAAGGACTTCTTTACTCTTGACTGAGACAATTTAGGCTCCAATTTATTTGTGTCAGCAGAAAGATGTGGAAGATACCAGCCCGCATTTCCCAACCCCTCAAAAAATACCCATAGACAAACAGACTTCTCAGAGCCAATACTGTACTTCTTGCAAATGACCACGCATACCAGTAGCATGGTTCTGACTGACATACAGGACCTCAATGGAGCTAACATACTAATATGAGATGTAAAAAGACTAGGCATTACTAAGGAAGTCTTGATGGATATATTAATATTGTTTGCAATCTGTTTTTAGTTTTGCACTGCCTCTTGAGTGAAGTGAAGGGGGTATTAAGTTGAGATACTTTGTAAATGAGAAATATGAACTAAAGACCACTGAGGATATTTTCATTGTTTGATGCATATTCTCATGAACAGGTAGACACATGCCCAGGGACCCACACTCTCTTTAAGTCAGACCAGAATTAAGAAAGTCTGTGGTCAATCTGAAATACCCCCAAGATGCTTATCACATAGTCATATAAGTGTAACCCACCACTAAGGCTAGTTATGTGATTTGCTAGTATCCGTGTTTGAAGCAAAGAGGCTTGATTCTCCCCCCACTGACCCTGTCAGTGCCAGGCAGGACTAATTCCACCAAAGGCAATGGATTTCCACAGCTACAAGAGGAGAGTGCAGTTCTCCGTCTGAAAAATGTTATAAACAGGCTGCTGAGTACCAACCCATCTAAGCCCAGTGTAATAAGTGGTAGTCCTTCGATTAAAAGTGGCTCCTTCTATGTCACTTAGTTTGCTGGTCTTTGTATTCTAAGCCATATTGGCTCTTGAAATTTCCATAGAACAAGCACTAGATTTTCTCAGAGTGCTGATACAAAATGATAACAAGTTCGGTTAGATTGGCTGTTTAGAAATGCCAGATTAAAGTTCTGCTTTTCTTTCTACGAAACAGAGTTCAGACATCAGCTTTAATATAGAATAAAGGTTAATCTACTATATTGCCTCTTTTTTATCACGATCCCATGCAGGGTTCTACGGTGCCCTAAATAGCTTTCTTTAGTGAGTTATATGCACTAACCTCATCTAACTCCTCATGCAGGGCAACACTCTGTACTTGGCATATGTCCAGAAACTGAACACTAGTTTTCAACCCTTCAACAGCCTGTTTTTTGTTTTCTGCTGACATTCAATGGAAGCTTTTCTTGTAACTTTGCCTCCCATGACCCTTTCAGCCAATGCATTGATGGGAAACCAAAACAACAATAATAAACACAGGGAAAGCACTTCCTCATGGGCTTGGAGATTCTGTGTTTTGCTTTTTGTTTGTGGTTTGTTTTGATTTTTAGTTTGGAGGAGAGGAGGAGGTTTGCCAAAGCTAACACGTGGTTTTTCACCATTGGGCTTTTTCCTCTGGTGGCTCTGGGTACCTGATACAATTTTACACACACACCAGGCTGTCAGCCTGGAAAGATTTTGTGAAGAGATTTCCAAGTGCTTCAGAGCTTCACCCACGTTTGCCAAATAATCCAATTCCTGAAAAAGGAAGAATGATCCACTTGATATCTCCTACTGGCTACCTGCCATTTCTTGCAAAACTAGATAATAACTTTCAGCCATGTTCTGGTACATGGGATTGCTAAATTATACCAAAGAGCAGTGGAAGGCAGAAAAATGTAGGAAGTCAATTCCTTCTCAAAATACAGCATTGAAGCTACACATCTGGGCAGTCTTTGAGGACATCTGTTTTTATTACCATGAGCAGAAGGCTCATGAACCTTGAATTGGATTACGGGTACCATAGTACAGAAGCTGAATCTTCTTACCATTGACATGAGCACTGGGAGCCTGATGCAGTTAAGCAGATTTGGGTCAGATCCAAAGCAAAGACAGCATCCTGCATGTCATTGAATCCTTGCAGCATTACTAGCAAACTACCAGTACCTTATTCAGTACACCAGGCAATCCCAGCTCCCATGGGCTGAAGCACTGAGAGTGTTTTGATGGTGATGAAATACTGATGATCCCTGAGGTGTGTCAGTGGTCCAAAAGTTGTTGCCCTGCTCTGTGGCCATGCAGATGGTGTGGCAAAGCATGCAGGGAAGAGATTGAAACTCGCTGCTGTGAGCAAGTGAAAGGCCCCAGACAGAGAAGGGCCTGAGTACAGAGGAGGTTCTGTGTTTAGAGTGGGTGCTAGTCTTACTTCCATGTGCTGATGTTGAGAAGACGTCCTTAATGACTGCTTGTCTCCCAGATGTGGGTTTGATGGTATCAGCCCAGGTATAGCCAGAGATATTACCTGCTACTTCTGTTTTTAGAGCTCCTTTAAAAACAAAAAATGTTCCCTGAGTGTCTGAACTATAGCTCTGAGAAATCAATGGGAATCTTTCCTCTGACTTCAGTGGGCTTTGGATCCAGAGATGACAACGTTGTACCTTTAAGGACTTTCTTCTTAAAAAGCATGAATCCATTCTGCTTTCATTTTTTTAATTTTGGTTTTCTTTATTGGGTGTGTAGAAAGTTGCTCTGAAATGAGAGTGAGGAGGGAAGATAAAAGCTGGGAAAACAGTCCATTGTGACTCATTTTTGTTTGTTTGAGATTTGAGAACACAGGGGAGCAACAGCTCGAAAGCACGTATTTCTCAGGTGTGGATTCATCCTGGCTCTCATACTCATAGTCTCTGTGGAAAGGAGGTGAAGAATATCTCCTGGCCCCTGTATAGTTGCATATCTTGCCTGTGACACAGGCCTTTTCCCTTTGGCATCTCAGAAGATGGGCAGAGGGGAGGGTCAGTGAACAGGAGACAGTAGGATGCACTCCATCAAGAGGTGTGTAGTGATAGGTGCTCTCACTGTGCACCAACCCCTCTAAGTTGCACCAGAAAGGTAGGGACCTAACCCACTACAAGTTTTGTGCTTGCCATTCTTTTCCTTGTGCCTGAGCCCATTCCATTGCTCTGTATATCAGTCTGATTTGAAGCATATAATCTTGCCAGTGTCCCCCTCTCACGCTCTCTTTCACTCTCTCATGCACGCATGCGCACCCCGCCCAACCATTGTCCTCATCAAGATTCTGTCTTCTTTATTGCATTGCTCTCAAGTATAATTCAATCTTGCATCTTTTGAAGCTCTAACACTGAGACAAATGTGATGAGATGCATCAAATGCATCAGGCAGGCAAGGTTCTTTGAGTAGATGTGATATCTTTTATTAGACCAACTGAGTACTCACAAGTTTTGTGCTTGGTGGGGGGGACTCAGTTGGTCTTCTCAAAGAACCTTGCCTGCCTATGTCCTTAGACCAACACAGCTACAACCAAAAACTCAGTTAAATGCATCAGGGCAGTCATCCAACCCACACCGCCCCCCTGCCTTTTTTTTTAAAACAAATTGAACAGTTTATTTAAAAATAAATTCCTTAAATTACGGGTGTCAAAAAATGGACCATGGGCCAGATCGAGTCCATGGAGTTGTGTTATTTGGCCTGGGGAGCTAGAAATTTGGTGGCGGGACAAGTGGTGGCTGCTGTGGCTCTGGGCACCACAGCAATTAATACTGCTGCTACTCATTCTATCCCCAGATTTCTGGCCTTGTAGCCAGCCTGTGGATCAGCTCCATACTCCAGATCCAGTTCATGGGGATCCTTGTGCTACTCATCTGGCCTGTAGGCCTGGATGAGTGACATCTCTGCCTTAAACAATAGGATTGAGTATGTTCTGTAGGACATCCAGCCATAGGGACTGGACTTCAGGCACAGTGTGTAAATTGAAGCATATGCATAAATACTTGCAGGACAAAGGCCCAAGATAAGATGCTGATTGAGACAAAATAATATAATTAATTTTCTTAAATCATGAATTGTCCTAAAATTCTGTTTTGATTCTGTCATTACTGCTGGTAAATCACTTAAAACATACAATGTGCTGTAATGTATATGCAGTGTGGGTGTCTCGCTACTTAGGACTTCTTTCCAGAAATCCCAGTTATATAGAATTTTCAGTAAATTTTTCTTTTTTTTTTAATACCACATAAACTATTGTGACAGCCTTACATATGGGCCATTTTAATAGCCAATTTTGTTTCAGGAGTTTTTCTATATGAACAATTTATATAACTTTTACTCAGATTTTTAAGAATCCAGACAAAGTAAATATTTTATACTGAGTAGGATAAGCCACTGGTTGTAACATTTGCATGTTGATTTCCTAGCAACCCTTCAGTTTCAGTCAAAGATGTATGATTTATTTCTGGGTGCGTGCGTGTGCGTGTGTACTTAACTCAAAAGACTATTCAAATATCAGAATATATATTTTTCAGTAGTTTAAGGACTCCCCCTCCAAAGATCTTTTTGATTAACGCATGAAAATGTAAGTGTTTTGCTGACCCTATGTGAAGAGGGAAAATCCACCCCCACAGCTTTCTGGAGTTATAAAAGACATAATCTAATATATAATATTTTGGTAGCCTTTTAATTTTTTTACTTAATAAATAACATCTGGCATTTCACAAATCGGGTTTAAGGGAGTAAAAAGAAATAATTCCTAGTGGGTTGGTTTGCAGTGGTAGGTGTATCATGCTGTCCCATATAGGCTTGCAAGGATATATATAAACCCCCCACCAGATCTTAAACTTGTTATTTAGAAATCAGGTACTATTTTGAGGCTCTTA